TTCCCCCCGCCTCGCCCGTTTTTTTTAATTTCTTTGTTTGTTCTCGTTTCGGTTGTTTTTTTTTCTTTTTTTTTCCTTTTTTTTTTCCGTTTTTGATTCCGACTTTTGTGCGGTACCGGTCGTTGCAAGGTGGGTGCCCCTCCCGACGCGGCGCGTATACAGGAAGCGCCATGTCCGATAGCTGGGCCAGGTACTGGTGGTTTAATAGCATTGCTTACTTCCTTACTTTGTTTACTTTGTTGATTGTGGTTCATTGACGGATTGCGGTTCATTGACGGATTGCGTTTGTTTCCGCAGCCGGTTGAGGGGTTGCGTTTGGTTCTGTTTCTACAGCCTGGACTTGCACCCGGTCGGAGTAGCAGGGAGCAAATCTGGGGCTGTGAATGTTTTGTAAGGGACACCGGGCCCGTTTCCTGGTGAAGTTTAAATGGAAACTATTCATGAAAAAAGAAAAGAAAAAAAAGAAAGGTACACTCACTCAGGCAAGCGATTGTTTTCCGTTTGGCTGACGCCACCGTTTGGCTGACGCCATCACGCTACCTGAGTTTGAATTCCAGTGGAAGCAGACGAGTGGAAACTGAACTTTTTTATCTGAATTTGCCCTCCGTGAGTAAAAACAAATCTTTTTCCAAACAAAAGCGGAAGTTGTTGAAATGCCCCTGAAACTTCGGTTATCGTCAGATACCTGTGAAAAGGCACGGGTATCTTTAAATTGTTGCCCTGAAATTGTTGAAATGACCCCATGACAGTAGTGAAACTTTGTGAAATACCGCGTCGATTGGACCTGTCATCTATTGCATATACTCCTACCGGGCCTGGGGCAACTTGTCTATATGCCCTGGTATTTTAGGCTGCAGATTGCAAAAGAAATGCACGGCCCCCTGCAGCCCAGGGCCAGGGCATATGGCGAAGTTGCCAACAAGCGGGACGGGCAGATGCAGAGTTTGGGGCATTTCAGCGTACCCCTGCGTTTTAGGCGTATGTAACAAAATACCAAAGTGTAAGGGGCATTTCAACAATTTCCCAAGGAAAAAAAGGAAAAGCGAGGACGGTCATCATGAACCAAATGGGGCATTTCAGCGTACCCCTGTGTTTAGGGGATGTAACGAAATACCGAAGTTTTAGGGGTATTTCAACAATTTCCCAGGGACAGAAAATACAGCTATGACGAAGATGTTTTTTTTTTTTTTTTTTAATTAAATGTGGACCATTTCTCGATTTATGCGTGTCAATTTTAACGGATGTCCCGAAGGACCGAAGATGTGTTTCATTCGGGGGCAGAGTGGGACTTTTTCTTCCAATTTCTGTTCTGGACGTGATTACGGCAATATACATCCTTTTATGTCGCAATTACAACCAGATACCTCCGGGAGAGTGCCACTGGTGACCATCCACGCAATTATTTGTTGGTAAATTGGTACACAGACTGACAAAGAATAAAATAAAATGGTCTATATGTATATTTTGTTTTTCTAATTTATTTATTATTTTGCGCAGCGGCCATGCTAATCTTCTCTGTATCGTTCCAATTTTAACGGATGTCCCCAAGGACGATATATATATTTTCAATTTCGGTAATGGTACATATATCACATGATGGAATCACATGACTACAATGAAGGCTCCAGTGTCGTTTCGCATTTTCCTTGTTTTGGTTTGGTGTCATAGGGCCTCGCCACACCACTCTCGAAATGTGAAAAGGACAAAAATGTGGCGCGTGCATCTGGTTATTTTCTAGCGGGAAGTTCATTCTCATTTTGCACATATCGAGAGTGGTGTGGCGATGCCCATATTTGGTCTTTTCTGGGAAGATTTCTCGTAGCCGGATCTGTGGCGGGTCTTGGATGCGTAGAACGGTGAGTGTATGGGTACATAATTTTTGGAAAGATACACTCGCCTTTTTTTGTCCTCTTCTCATATTTCGAGTGAAGTGTGTGTGGGGGGCTCTTTTGGACCATTTCTTCGCAGGGGCCATTTGCTAATCTTCCCCTTCTCTGTATCTTTCCAGTTTGAACAGATGTCCCAATGGACGGGGGGCTCTTTTAGATTAGAGCGTCGTTCCACTACACACGACATGCAAAATCATGCACAAACATGCACAAAAGATAAAAAATATGACGATGTATCTGCCCTGTTCGAGAGGAAGATTCATTCTCATTTTCAACATTTGGTGAATAGTGGAGCGAGGCCGTAAGGTGGGAAATCGTCACTTGAAGGACCACATCGCGGGAACGATGGGAAGCCCGCCGAATCCCCGCCAAATCCCGCCAATCCCGCCAAATCTGTTCGTCGAGAGACGAATGGCGGTGCCCGCTCGTAGAGGAAGCAAGGGTGTGAGGCGGAGAGACGCGCTGTGAGTGCGTGGAGTGACGATTGGAATTGGGCGGGGAGGGTGCGTGGGTGGCGGATGTCAACTGGCAAGGAGGGGCAGTAGAGAACAGGAGGAAGGGAGGAAGGGAGGGAGGAGAGCGAAATCGAAAGCGAGCGAGAGGTAAAGAGTGCGTGGAGAAGAGTGTTGTGTTGCATCCATGGCGGCGGCGGCGGCAGCGGCAGCGGCAGCGACGGCAGCGGGTTCCATCGCGGCCTGCGCCCCAGGGTCGGCGGCGGCACCTCGGCTGTCGCCTAGCGGATCTGCTTCCGCGCAAGAAGCCGGTATGTGCGCCGCCGCCAAGCTGACGGCTACGTGTCGCGCGCGAGCGCCCGCGTTGACCTCGCAGTTCCGCGGGACTCCAGTCGCCTGGCGGCAGCATGGCGCAAGCAAGGCGGAGGCCATGCCACGTGGCAGCAGCGGCAGCAGGACCAATCGGGTTGCAGTGTTGGCGGCGGCGGCAGTTTCCACGCCAACGAAGTCGGAGAAGACGACAGGTGTCACCGGCTCGGTGAAGACAGGCATGACGATGACCGAGAAGATCCTGGCCAAAGCCGCGGGGAAGGGGAGGGTGTCCCCCGGAGAGAACGTGTGGGTGCGCGCGGACACCTTGATGACGCACGATGTCTGTGGTCCCGGCACCTTCGGCGTTTTCAAGAAGGAGTTCGGTCCCGACGCTAAGGTCTGGGACCCCGAGAGAGTGGTGATCATCCCCGATCATTACATCTTCACCGCCGACGAGAGAGCTAATCGGAATGTGGACATCCTGCGGGACTTTGCGCGGGAACAGAACATCAAATACTTTTACGATATCGTCGAGAAGAGCGATTTTCGCGCCAATCCGGACTACAAGGGGGTGTGCCACGTGGCACTCGCTCAGGAAGGCCATTGTCGACCTGGTGAGGTGTTGTTTGGCACAGATTCGCACACGTGTACCGCTGGCGGGTTTGGGCAATTTGCCAGCGGCATAGGGAATACCGACGCGGGGTTCATTCTTGGCACGGGGAAACTGCTAATTAAGGTGCCAGCGACGATGAGGTTCATCCTCGATGGGGAGATGCCGAGTTATTTGCTATCGAAAGACCTGATTCTGCAGATCATCGGAGAGATCGGCGTGGCGGGAGCCACTTATCGCGCGATGGAATTCGCGGGAACGACCGTGGATGGCATGACGATCGAAGATCGGATGACTCTGTGCAATATGGTAGTTGAGGCGGGGGGCAAGAATGGGGTTGTGCCAGCCGACAAGACGACCTTCGACTACCTTGAGGAGAGGACTAACGTCCCTTTTGAAGTCTTCCGGAGTGATGGCGATGCGCAGTTCCACAGCGAGTACCGATTTGATGTGTCGAAGATTGAACCTGTGGTGGCCATGCCGCATTCTCCAGACAACGGAGCTTTGGCGCGGGAATGCAAGGATAAGAAGATAGACAGAGCGTATATCGGATCGTGTACTGGCGGGAAAACCGAGGACTTCATGGCGGCGGCGAAACTGATGCACTCGGCGGGAAAGCGGGTGGTGGTCCCCACATTCCTCGTCCCCGCCACGCAAAAGGTGTGGATGGACTTGTATACTCAGCCGGTACCGGGAACTGGCGGGAAAACGTGCGCGGAGATCTTCAATGAGGCAGGATGTGATACTCCCGCCTCACCATCTTGTGCGGCATGCCTTGGTGGTCCCAAGGACACGTATGGAAGGATGAACGAGCCTCTGGTCTGTATATCAACGACGAATAGGAACTTTCCAGGAAGAATGGGGCACAAGGACGCGCAAATCTACCTGGCATCCCCGTACACCGCCGCGGCGTCAGCGCTGACAGGATTTGTTACGGATCCCAGAGAGTTTTTGTGTTAAGGAGAAAAAAAAAAAAAAGGAAACGAAACGTCTTTTGACACCAAATTGAGAGAGAGAGAGAGAGAGAGAGAGAGAGAGAGTTCTGCTGAAAGAGAAAAACATGTGGTTAACTGAAGGGCGCAAAGTTGACGAGGAAGGGACGCTTTACTCGTTCACAGATTGTGCGTAAATGGAACATTATAGGAAGGAATGGTGGGAATTCGTTCGTGTGTGTGTGTGTGTGTGTGTGTGTG